AATGAAGGGATTGAGGTTTAGAACATTTTTTTTTTTAAGATTTTTATTGGGGAATTGGGGGGATGGGAACAGTGCTGGGGAATTGGGGAAAGGGGGACAGACAAGTAGCGGCTGCTGGCCACTCACGCTGGCTGCTGGCTACACACAGTAGCCCATGGCAACCCACTGCCACAGGGACTGCAGCCCACGCCGTCGCCGGCGACTCAACGGCAGCCCAGCTCCAGGTTGAGCTGTTGCATAGAACACTTTTTTAATGGACACCTGTTAACGTTTCAAGAGACATTCTTGGGAAAGTCTTGCTGTTTCCTGAGTTGTGTTAGTCAAATACTCAGGGAGCATGAACTGTAAAAGTAAAATGAGTTATAAATATTGTATTTCAAAACATTTTTCAGTCATCCAAAATGGCATTTCTAACATTGATATTTACTTTAGTAAGAGTTTCCTTTTTTCATATTTTCTGAAGAATGAAATTACAGCTACAGTTGAAAGCCCCTTGTTCCCTCCCTTATCTGATTCTTCTCTTTCCCTCCCCAAGGTAACTCCTACCCCATATGTAGTGGTTATCACTCCAATCCACTTTTTAAAAAATATGTAGATATGTATTCATAAACAATATATAGTGCTAGTTTTCATGTTTTCAAACTTCACATTACTAGTCAGATTACTTTTAAAAACTATTTTCTATAGCATAATATGTTTTTATGAATTGTGGGGGAAAGTGTATTGCTTAATGAAATGGATTGCTGGTGAATTGCTATCTAGTAAAAATGGACCTTTCCAGGCATAGCAAGTAGAGCAGTGTTTCTGTTCCTTTCATGTTCTGTAATAATATTCCACCTGAATAAGTTAGCATTTGCCAGTTATTTCTTTCTGGAATAAATGTGTAATTCTGGAAACTCAAAATGATGATTTGATAAGCTGTAATTTATATTGATGTGCTTCTATTCTTGTCATAAGTCTTTTTATCTTTTTGTTATCTAGTGTTTAACCAGGGGGAAGAAGGCACCTCCTGGTACATTATTCTAAAAGGATCAGTGAATGTTGTCATTTATGGCAAGGTATATATATATATCTTTTTCTTCTTGAAATTTTATTATGCTCCATTTACTAGTGTGGCTCTAAGTATTAACAATGTAGTGCTACAGTTAGACTTGCAACAACATTGTTACTCAATGTAGAAAAGACATAGCATCTCTAATCATAAATTATCTAAATTAGTATACTCAGAGTAGTATCAAATTTTCTGGGGCTCATCTCCTTATAGATTACAAGTGTACATTTAAGTTAGATCATAGCCCATATTACCTAATAAAAGAAAAAACAAAACAACATAATTTTAATTATATGACTCCCATTAAGCATCCCTGGGTATAGCCCATTTATATACACAGTGTTTTAGGGGCAAGGGGGTCTTGTGGTACAAGGTGGGTGGGTGTCTGCTCCGTTTCAGGGACCATCTTCATCTGAGTATTCTGCTCTCTCCAGGGTGTGGTCTGTACCCTGCATGAGGGAGATGACTTTGGTAAGTTAGCACTAGTGAACGATGCCCCAAGAGCTGCCTCTATCGTCTTGCGAGAAGATAATTGCCATTTCTTGAGAGTAGACAAGGAGGATTTCAACCGGATCCTGAGGGTAAGTCCAAGGCACAGTGTGACTGAGGGGCATCCCATGTTTGTGTTTTGCCAGCTAAGCAACGATTTGGGTGTCCTGGTAATTGAGCAATGCTGTGAATAGTGAATGCTCTGGGAACAAAGAGCCTGCCTTGGTCACAGACCTAGGATGTTCCGTGTGCTGGAGTGCCTCCTGGGGTCCAGAGGGATATTCCAGTAAAGCTGCAAATGTGATGTGCTATGCTGGATCAAACAGCTCTGCACACACCTTAGCCGGTCCATAAGAATTAGAGACAGAGGAACTGCCTTGGCAAATGTCGAAGCGTGAGCTGTTTCTCTTTGCAATCCCAGGCTTCCGCTTTTGTGCTGTTCCCCATTCATATATTTCTCTACCTAAACCTTCTTAGTTTCTGCCTCCGATCTCATCCCAAATCTGAACCTTTCTCATATCATCACACACTCCCTTGATTTATTAAGTGATTACATTTTAGTGGGAATTAACATCCATCATGGTTCCTCCAACCAAGCATTTTCATTTCAAGGGCTTTATGCCAAAATTGATTCACACTAAAGGAATTTCAGACTTCAGTAAGTAGATAAAGAACAATTGGGGTGGTAGAGGGAGCCATGAAATGGCTCGTAAAGTTGGCTCTGCAGATGGGCCTAATCCAAGCTTGTTAAGGTGTTTGTGAGAGTGGGTGATGTTTAGAAGAGATGGTCCTTGGTCTCTCCCCACCGTGTAGCCCCGGGTCCGTTGGGAGGAAGAACCCAGCTTGGTAAATGCCTGAGTGTGGACTGCTGGGGATGATGACAATGTCGCATGCCCCCTGGCCTCTCCGGTGGCCCATGTTCCATCCCGCCCTAGCTGGAGTTCACCCAGAGAGACTGTTCCCTCTGTGATCATTGTGCTCTCCTCCCTTCTCTGCCTCTCCCACCTGAGCATCTTTCTCTCTCCTACCTGAGAGTCCTAAACACAGCTTCTGTGTCTTCAGGTATACTTGACATCATTTAATGATGATTTATAACGTCGTTCTCCATTCTTTTTGTATGGGCACCTATCCCTACATAGCCTTAAGTATTTGCCTTCAGTGGCAAAATTTCTGACACCCAAGTTTGTGTTAGGAATGCACTCTCTTAATGCAAAGAAAGTTAAATTAAAAGCTGTACCATTGAATAATATAGAAAAAAAAGGGCACATGGAATTTGATTTTGTTCTTATCTAATCTCTTTTAAAATGGGGACCATATGATAAGAAAAGACATATTAATTTTTTTAAATTAATTATTTTAAATGAACACTGAAATTTAAAGAGAAGCTTTACTAACTCTTTGAAATTTACACTTGTGGAGTTCACACTCAGCCAAAAAAAAGCCTTTGAAAGATTCACATGAGGACCATTATCACTGATGTAATTTATAAAATTATTCAAAAGAACTGAAAAATGTTTTAATTCATTTCACATGGGTTTTTTTTTAAATAAAGTCTTTTGATTAGAGAGAAAAAGTGCCACTCCTGAGAAAAACGAAATATCCTCAGAAGAAAATCAGAATGAAGGATCTTGGCTGAAGCTGAGTGCCATCTGCCACATATTTTTATAAAGAACAAATGCACTGCTCCTCTGTCTTCCTGCGATCCCGCCCTCCCCCAAAGGCTTCTCAGAGCACAACCACACTCCTCTCCACTCTGCTGAATTTTTGAATCTGGGGTAAAAGCAGAGCTTTGAAAACCACATGCCTCAAACCTCATCTGGTCCTCTCCCTGACCGTTCCAGCCCTTGACTTTGAAAATGACTTAATTTGTAGACACAACAATTAACATCACAAGCCCCAAATGAGTTTCTGAAGCATTTGAAATTTTTTTCATTGTCTGAGCAAACGGCAGCATCTGTATGTGGTGTAATTTGTGTTTGCAGGACGTGGAGGCGAATACAGTCAGACTGAAAGAACATGACCAAGATGTCTTGGTGCTGGAGAAGGTCCCAGCAGGGAACAGGGCTCCTAATCAAGGAAGCTCACAGCCTCAGCAAAAGTAGGTTTGCATCCAACACTGCAATTGCCAGACTATGATTAACCTTTTCACATGGTATCATCATTCCTACAATAGCATGTTCTCCTTTTTAGTGGAAGACGGCGGTGTGTGTGACTTTTTCCTCTCTATTGACTAATCACACATTTTGTGGAGTATAATGTGTCCATTTCTGGCACTGTGTAGAGCTTCGTGCTGCCTAGCGTAATGCAGGGGAGAATATTCCTCTACTCTAAAAGGGCTCTCTGTATACAGTGTTCAACTGTAATAGCTTTGGAACAGAAGGCATCGGAGAGAACAATGGAAGTCGGAATGCCAAGCAGCTCAAAGGATACGTTGGCCCTGAGGAGATGTGAACCTTTGGTATTTGAATTTCGTATGTAGGATTTCTCAAGAGGTGTTTTCATCTTGTTATCGGAATGAGCATCTTTGACAGAAACCCAGATTTCAAATATAAGACAGTCTGTTGATTGCAGCCCGGAAGCATCCATTGGGCCTGATCCATACTTATTCCTGCTAAGGTCAAAAGGGTACTTGTTTCACATTTCTCAGGTCCCTGTTTAACTTGGGTCTTTAAGTATATCTATGTTAAGTTCCACCTTTTGCTGCAGCTTCCTACATGAGACTTTTTTGTCAAATGTACCAACATGTGAACGGTAGAACAGGAGAATTGGGAAATGTAGCTCTAAGAAATTGTAGAAAATTACAGAATCTCGTTTTTAGAATAAAGATGAATTTTCAATCTTAAAATACTAAAAACACCAATTCTGCAGCTAAAGAAATGTCACCAAATAATATTTTGAAAAAAATGCATTCCAAGTCATTTTTGTTTGTTCTCCATGTAAATGAGGTATTCCCTCTCATCAGGACGCTCACCATAACTGATGAATTTTTATTGTTTAGGCTAAAAGCCTGAGGCTCAAACATTTTCATCTGGATGAATCAACATTTTTACAAAGAAGATGGGAAGATATGTAATATTATTGATGGGCCATAGTACATTTTGTATATTTTATGTACTCCCTTATTACACCCCTTTTAACAGATAGAAAAATTTAGGCTCAGAGAAGCAAGTTACTTGCCCAAGATTACAAAGCTTATAATGGTAGAGCTGGGATTCAAGTCCAGCTTGATCAACTTCAATGCCTTTTCTCCTTTAGCCTCACAGATTACTATAGCAAAGCATGTTATATAAATACTGTAACCTTGACCCTGTCTAGTAAGCATTTTAAACCAATGTATTTCAAAAGAAATGGCAAAAAGTGGACTATATAAAAACTATACTTTTACTTACAAACCTATCAAATGACCATCTAGAATTCTTTATTGTTTTCTTATTTTTCACGACTATCCATTCTTGAAATGTTCTTGCCAAATGTTTTTAATAGTCCTTCCAGCCCACAGAGGATGAGAATGAAAACGTTTTTATGTGAAAGTTGGGACTATCCCCAGTGATTTTTTTCTTGCATGCTTTTAAATATAAGTAGACCATTTTATAGTGGTAATCTGCATTCTTTAATAATGCCTCAGATGTCTGAGGAAAAATTGGCCTCCTGAAAAATGAAGCCTTGAAAATTCTCCTTAACCTTGAAACACCTGACCAAGGTCCCCTGAAGGCCCCCTTCCTTCAGCTCTTCATCGCATGGCAGAATGATCAAAAGCATTTGCTTGTTACAACATCTTCCATTCAGAGCACCTTCCAAATATAGATTTTTTTATGAACTCAAACTAAAGGGAACAGAAAAGGAGAGGCCATGTGTATTAAACTTATTTTAGGCCTGGATCTGATTTCTGTTATATCTTCTTATTTGTGTCATTGTAGGCCAACACATGGTTCTTATATAATTCAAAAACTTGTGTGTGTTCACAGCACACGATTTAAGAAGTATCATTGAGTACAAAATAACGTATCATTCAAAATCAATTCCCTGAAGAACAAAAACCCACTCTCTCAAGGGGTATTTTCCATGTTGAGTGTTTCCAAGCCAGATCAGAGTTGAAAAGGAGAGACCATGTAAGTGAATTTTGGTCTGATATTCTGGATAACTTCGATAAAATGGCAACGATTGTGTCTGTGGATGGACTTAAAATTTAGGAATCTTTAGGGCATCTGTCTCCTCAGAAATTGTCATATTTGAGCTCCAAGAGGGTCGCTGTTGGCTGCTAATAATAATTATTTTTCTAATACACTTTTCCCCTGAAAAATCCAGAATAGTTTCAAAACTGCTTGACTCTGCGCAAGCCACTCAACTCCGAGGGTGATATTAAAATGTCAAAAGCAAGACAGGATTTCTCATGATGGGTAAACTATATGGAACCCTCAAAAATTGACCATGTTGGTTATCTTCTGCTCTGTGGTTTTGTGGTTTTAGTAAGAAAGAAAGAATTTGAAATGACTATTCCTGTTTTAGTTACTGTGTTGCTTTTTCCTTAGACTAGCAACCCTATTGTTCAACTCCTTCCTGTTTGCAGAAAGATAATCTCGTTCAGGCCTCCCCACCACCACCTCTTTTTTTGTTCTAGATGCAGAACAAAATTGTCTTCATTTCCAGACTTGGTGTTAGGAAGAGATTTTTCTGTCGCAGGCTTAAAATCTCACAGCTTGGCTAATATAACCAATTGGGGTTCTCTTTAACTTGGACTGGAGTAACTCCTTCATGCAATACACTGAAAAGAGCCATGCTGTCTGTCTGGCTTTTAAGTCCTTCATTTCAACAGAGGTCAAGCAGCAGGCACCTGGCAGTGTCCAGCCTGAAACAAAGCAACAACGTGATGTTTCCGCTAAACCCAGAGCTGCAAGATCACAGATGGCTATGTCTGGCCGGAAGCTTCCTGGCCTTTCCTCTTAAAGAGTTCCCTGCTCTAAAAGAATGTCAACACCCAAGCAGCCTCCTGTGGACCTAAGAGTGAAAGGATGGGTACGGCAGCCATGGCAGCTGTACCACCAGAGGGAGCCTTTGGTAGCAAAAGAAAGATCCCCTGGTGTCTGAGATTGACCAGACGGGCAGAGCTTAGAAGTGATAGGATACCTGGCTTGCCTCCGTGGTCTTCATCCTTTTTAACCAGACATAATAACCAAGCTAAGGGGTGTCCAAACAAAGAACACCAGGATGGGAAGCCAACCTTCTATCAGAGTCCAACTTTTGACAAAGGAACAAATTTCAAACTGATGTATCAGTTGCCCAATGCCACAGTAAATAACAAGTAACTGGTTTTTTATGTAGTATATTTTATGTGCTATATTTTTATATAATATATTTAAGCTGATTTAAGTAAAGCTTGTTTTCAGGAACAAGCAAACAAGTTCTCTTCAGAGGAGGTTTTTCATTGCATAGCAGACTTCCTGTCCAGAACGAACTCTGGGGACCTTGACGTAGCCCTGGCCGGAGTGCCTTGCTGCCCAGGCAGAGCAGCATGAGACACACGCTTGTGCTCCGAAGCCAGACCTGGGCTCGCAGTGGAGAGCTCACATTTACTAATTGTGTAACTGGGGCCTGATGCCTCCCCTTGCAGGGCAGTTTCTCCACCTGCAGGATAAAGATAATATTTAACGAGCGGGAGTAAACATGAGGACAGTGTTCAATGCCCACCTCGTTGTCTGGGGCGTAGTAAACATGTGGCAGACGCCAAGTGCCCTTTCCACCCCCAATTCCTTAGTATGTGGCCAAAGGCTGCTCCCCGTCCAGCTCATCTGGTGAGCACAATCAAAGAGCCATATATTTCAGGAATTACTGAATGAACTCAGCAATTTTCTCCGTTTCAGTGTTGGAAGTCATTTAGAAATAGGCCCTCTCATATACTCAAATACTCATTGCCTACAAGAGGCAAATCATTGTCTTCTACCTTATTTACTTTGAGAACGGGGTCATACTTTTGAGATTAAAGTATATTTTTTTTCTACTCCCCCTCTCCTTTTCTAGTCTCCAAGGCCAGGGTTCCTCAGAGATTTAACTCTTCAGCTTCCTTTGGCCCTGTATACACACACATGTACACACACACACACACACACACACACACACACACAGAATAGTTTTAGCTATTGGTGGCTTCCAGGTAGACTGTATCTGTTACCTAATTGAACTCCAAGGTTGCTTCCTTACTCTCCCTCTCCGTTTTCACCTGCACAGGGTCGTATGTTGAACTGCCACTTCTTTACTCCCTCAGGCAGAAGGCTTCGACCCTGAGATTTAACATGTTAGGGATATTATTAGGATTTGCACACACTTCATCCCGGGTCAGCAAGGAAAGGGTGTTGGCGAGGAGGCGGAGAAACCTGGGTTCCCCTGGAGCGGAATTCTACCAGTGCTTTCTGCTCATAAGAGAATTGTATTTTCATTGTTGTTTTCTTCCCTGCCCCTTTGGCTTTATGTGAAATGCCAAGCAGAAAAGCAAAGCCTGAGTTTTGGAATAGGAGCCCCAGATCATCTTAATGCATTTTGCCTATAATTTTCATTCACTGTCTTTTTACCATCTTGAATATGACTTTTAAATAACCCACATTCAACCTAAAAAACAAATCCTTCTGTGTTGATTGAAGAGCTTCATGGACGGGTCTTCTGAAATAATGTCACCCTCCCGACCACCCCCAAATAATTGATATTGACACTGAAATTAATTCTGTGAATTTTTTTTTGCTGGTTGATTTTCTGTCCAGATACTACCGGGGTTCCCATGTTTGCTCATTGGTGTTTGGGTTTTGTTTTGTTTTGTTTTCTCTTATGTTATTCTTAGCTGTATTTCCAAAGCACATACCAGTGTACAGTTGGGAAAGACAGAGCCATTCCAGAAATAGGCAGGGGAATCCAGTAGGGGACTAAAATTTTGCTACAAGTAACCCATATATGGATAACCTAGTTTACTGTCACTTCCCCTCACCAGCTCCCCCCTGCCTGACCTCAACTGCCCTGGGATTCACGTTCCTTTTCATTCCCCTTGGAACAAGGCTGGAGTTGCTCAGTTCCCAGCCTGCTAGAGCCACTCTCCAAGGAATTTACTTTAGTTCCATGTAGGGAAAAAAGAGTCACGTTTTAGTAACTACTTCAATTCACAGTTGTTCCACTATCTTCCTGTGTGACTTTGGCAAGGTACATGGTTTCTCTTACCATAAGGAGAATATGGGCCATAAGTTAAGTTGGGATTGCAAAAAAAAAAAAAAGAAAAAGAAAAAAAAAGAATCTTAGCTATATGAAAGGTTATTTATTAATGATTTGAGCACTTTTGAAAAGCTAATGCTTTTTTATTTCTTACCCAGGTATACTGTGATGTCAGGAACACCTGAAAAAATTTTAGAGCATTTTCTAGAAACAATACGCCTTGAGCCAGCTTTAAATGAAGCAACAGGTAAATGCCTAGAGCAGTTTTGTGTGTCCGTAACAATGCAGAATATTCTAAAATCAAAATTTTGAATTCATTATCAGTGTGTGTAACCAACACAGTTTTAGAAGGGGGATATGTGTATTAACATGAGAAGAATATCCCTGTGTGGCCCACTCAGGGAACAATCTTTTTGACCATCCCCTGACCATCCTCTGCCTTCAATCCTGGCTGCTCTTTTGTGAATGGCTCAGTCGCATTCATACATATTAAAAGTAGCCTTCCATAGGCATCTCTTAAGTTATCATTTAAATTCACCTTCCATAGATATCTATTAGGTTATAATTTAAATTCTACCTATTTGCATTAAAGGATTTGCTGCTGCCTACACAAAAGGCACAGCCTTGCTCCAACTGGGAGTAAAATGGCTCTGTCTGTAGTTGTAGAGTCTTGGGCTGCCCCGAGTGTAACTAAACACAGCCGTATTAGTTTGCTAGGGCTGCTGTAACAAAGTACCACAAGTTGGGTGGCTTAAACAACAGAAAGGTATTGTCTCACAGTTCTGGAGGCCAGAGGTCTGAGGTCAAGGTGACGGTAGGGTTGGTTCCCCCTGAGCACCATGAGGGAGAATCTATTCCATGCCTCTCTCCTGGCTTGTGGTGCTTTGCCGGCAATCTTTGGGGTTCCTTGGCTTATAGATGCATCACTCTGATCTCTGCCTTTATGTTCACATGTTCTCTTTGTGTCTTTTCACACAGCCTTCCTTCTGTGCATCTGTCTCTGTGTCCAAATTTCCCCTTTTTATAAGGAACCAATCATACTGGACTAGGCCCGCTATTAACGACCTCATCTTAACTTGACAACACCTGCAAAGACCCTGCTTCCAAAAAAGGTCAAATTCTGAAGTACTGGGGGTTAGAACTTCAACATGTCTTTTGGGAGTGACAAAATTCAATGTATAATACTGCCTTACAGTGAACCAGTCTTATTAAGCAAGACACAGATATTTGAGATGAATCTCACTGGTGAACAAATCTGTGATTTCATTCTCCCCTTTGGGAACCATCTTGTACATGACTTTGACACAGCTCACATTCAACTTAAAAAAAAGAAAAACTCCTATGTTACTGGCCTGACTCTCAGAATAATGTGTCAATATTTTAAGCGTTCTGAGTTCCATAGAAGATTTCTCTAAAAGGAGTTCAAGGATTTATCTAAAAAACCTAGTGGTTGTTCAAAGTCCATTTCCATCATCTTTGCAATATATTCAAAGTAAAGTTATTATTATTATATACCTCCTAAAAGTAGTTTAGCACTGATTTACGTCTTATTTTATCTCCTCTTTCTAGTTTCTCATTTTATAAATAGATCATCCCAGATATTTCTTTATGAAGCAAATTAATTAGGGAGTAGTTGATATACAAGCCAGGATCTCTAGCTCCAGGGCAATTAATTTCAGTTCGATGTTTGTTGAGTATCTTCTCAGGCAGGCACTATGCTGCATGCTGTGGGCTAGGCAATGTGAACAGGCGGCACTCTCCTGTCCTTAGGAAGTTTATAACCTTCTAAAGGACGTAAAAGGATGTGCAAACAGTTTGAACATCAAGAAGAACGTGCTTTGGGAGCACTGACTGGCTGAGGGGACCAGGTGAAGTGTCATGGAGAATAGAGCCTTTGAAGTGGTCCTGAAGGAAGGCTCGTGTCTAGTAACTAGCGACAGGGGAACAAAGCTTTCCCATACTGCGGTACAACATTAATAATGACCTAGAAATGGGCACAGAAGATCAGCAGTCTGGTTTTGCTGCGCTGTCATATGCATAAGTTAGTCTAGTTTCCTAGACCTTTTACTTCTGTGACCAGCGTTAATCATTGGGCGACTTGGGAAATCATTTTCTAGTAGGAAATGATTTTTAAAAATAGTCAGCTCTCAAGAATATTTAGGAAGAACTACTGCATATGTAGAGGACAAAAAAGCCATGGTGAAATGTAGGTGCTGGGTAGTTACCATGCTAAGTGACCAGCTCCCCAGAGTCAGAGTACCTTACTGAAATCTCCAGTTTAGCAAAATGTAAACTGGCCTGTTATATAGCACAGGCCTTCTGGGAGCCTTAGAAGCACAAGCATCGCCTCCCCTATCCTCAGAGATTGCCTGAAACATATTGTATAAAGGTGACCCTGGATGGGAAACTCAGACAAGCTAAAGTCCTTTTGTACTTAAGAGAAAAGGCTCCATACAACTTCTGCCTGGCGCCTTCTCTGCATCTTAGGTTCAGTGTAATGGTACTGAAATGACTGGAAACACTTAGTGGTGACAACTTGAGATTATACTTATCCCTTATATTTAAATGAGTATAATGATAGTATGTGATATGATAGAGGTGTTAGCTATCGCCATGGTAATAATCATGTTGCAACATATAAATGTAGTAAATCAATAAATACATTGTACACTTTAAACTTACATGATGTGGTATGTCAATTATATCTCAGTTTTTTTAAAAACAAATGAGTATAATGGTTAAACCTTTATAAAGTCACTGATTCCAACATTGCCAATATAAGTTAATTTAAAACATAGACATTAATATTTATCTAATTTATATAGTTAAAATTTTCATATTTCTCCTCATTTCCTATTTAAAAAGTCACATGAGTTTCGCAAATCTCAGCCAGTGTTGTTCATTTTTTAATTGGAAATCCCCATATCATCATGAATTTCGAGTTTCACCTGGCATACTCCTAAGGCTTTCTGACCTGACTTCAGTGATTTCCCACCAACACTGACTGGATAGCGTGGTCTTTGCAGTGAAGAACTAGCATGAATTCACAATGAAGCAGATGAGGCTTATCTTTGGGACTTGCCTTATTTCCCTTGCCATCTCCCTGCTTCCCTACCTACAAAATAGCTTCAAATATAGGACAGTCACCATTTTCATCTACTGGTGAGCTTTGTTTTGCTTCAGTTGATGCTCACAGCCTTTATCTTTTCTTTTTTCCTGCTTTTGTTTCCCTCACCAATTCTCCATTCATACCACCTCCTTTTTCTTTAATTCCATCATCCTCTCATCCTTCATGGCTCCCTCTGGAAATAGGAGGTGAAAACGAGATAAAGAAAAGGCGATATTGACAAAAGACATGTGGTGTAAAGTTGACAAAGAAATGACCATGTTTTAGTTCTGCACACATGGTATACACACACACACACACACACACACACACATACACACACATGAGGGGTGTCAAAAAAATGTATACAAGCAGACACTTTGGTCCACGTTGCTCAAGCAGTAGTTCGCCATAATCAAAAGTGTCTGGACGCGGATGGTAACCACTTGGAGCACCTCTTGTAATTGCAGAAGTCAAATGTGACGTATTTATCTTTTGTTATCAATATATATTATTACAATTTTAATAGGTTTTTTTTCTTTCTTAAAATGTGTATACATTTTTTTGGCACCCTGTGTGTGTATAAAATTATTTTTATATGCAGTGCTTCTATGTACAGTAAAACCACAATACTCCAAGCCAATGCGTGAGAACCGTTGGTCAAGAACTAATCAATAGATACTCTTGTTTTCCTAAATATTTCTGCAAGAACCTAATTTCCTTTTCTGCTTTGCATTTTTTTCCCCCTTCCAGATTCTGTTTTAAATGACTTTGTTATGATGCACTGTGTTTTTATGCCAAATACCCAGCTTTGCCCAGCCCTGGTGGCCCAATATCCTTTTATTGTGAAGAGTCTCTATGCCCTTGAAGACACCCCATATGTACAAGGCCATTATCTCATCCCCTTCCCTGAAGGTAAGTCGTGTCCCAGGCAGAGCTGTGCTTCCTACCCTTGTCTAACTCTGAAATGTCAGCAGTTTTCTCCAGCATTGACTCCAGCTCTCCCTGGCATGGTTTGGTCATGCCATGTTTGAGGACTTCTTCCTCATCACCTGTGTAGAGAAACGGGAGCCAGGTTACCTCGGGAAGGTGTTACTGGTTGGGAATTTACATACCTGGGAGGTGGGCTAGAGAAAGTTATGGAGAAGAACCCAACAGTATTATTAGGGATAGTTCCCTAGCCTGGGAGACAGGCTGTGTACCTCTGTCAGGACCTGGCAGGTGGGTTGTGGTCTGCTTGTGTTTTCCCTTTAAGCTGTAGTATTAACCAGACCACTAACCCGGTGAGATAAAGACACGTTATCACTGTGGGGTAGCTTTCGTTTTATATTCGTCCTAGTCCATCCTCTACTGCAGATACCAAAATTTATTTCTTTGTTACTATTGTTATTATCATCATGTTCACTTAAATACAAGATACAAAACTAGAAATTCTAATGGCAGTTCTTCTAGGCAGCTTGAAAGCTGAGTTTGTTTGGGGCAATTTTTCAATACTCTGTTGAATTGTCCGATGGGTATACAATGTCCAGCACAGAAGGAGCATTCAGAAAATGGAAGTTGAATAGAAGAAGTAAATATTATTAATGAGTCGCAGCCTCAAATTTAAGGGGCATGTGAAAGTATATTTTCCAGTTCTGCTTTATTTTTAAAACAACAAAAATGTAGACCCCAAAACACTTTGGCCTTTTGTGAGCAGTTAAATATATTGAAGGAGAATAGCTTTCTTTTTTCTGAGCAATCCAATCAATGTTGGCATGTTTTCCTTTTTCAGAATTATAATTGCCCTACCTGATTCTCATGTTTTTTGTTCACCCATAATTCTCTTTGCAGTCAACAGACTGTGTGAGGATAGGAGATTTGAGTGGAATGTGTTATTCAGAGGAGCTGCAAGAGTGAGATTTGGGTGTTTATTTGCCTGGGAAACATCTTTCCAAGTAAAGACGGCTTAATGAGACTTACATATATTATATATTCTTTCTGGCTCATGTTCAGTCAAGTAAAATTAACACATTCAGGACCTCTGTGTCCTCTTTTAACTCCATACATGGTAATCATTATTAGACCTTTGAGATTTGTTGGAAGGAAAAATAAAAAAAAACATTGAGTTTAAGACTTTTTTTTTTTCAACAGCATGCTAATAAGCTTAAGACAAACAAAACCAAAAGAAGAAAAAGAGTACAGGGAACCAAGTCATACTGTCTTTACAACACAAGCCCCAAATACTAACTTTATATTTTTTTGCACAGTCTGATTTATTCATTGATTAGCTTGTTGTCCTTTTGACTGAGAACACCTATATCACTGACCTCTGTTCTTAAAATAGAAGCTCCTAGAGCAATGTCCATGCCACTCAGCTAGGGAGGTGTGGCAGTAATGATGTAGGGAGGAGGAATAGATAGGAAAGTGGACAAGAGAAACCTGTGTATCCAGTCTTCCTCTTTTCTCAGGAGATGGAGGGAAGCCAGGATGGCTGGTATCATCTATCCCGCCCAATGCCCTCAGACCATCTTCTTTCACTCCTGGCCCTGTAGGAACCTAAATTCTCTCCACTGTTCTATTTGTAATCAATTCTCTATGCCTCAGGCACATGCCAAGAGCCTTGACCTTTATTATACCATTTACCTTTGCAGGAGTCTGTTGGGTGTATTAGCTTTGTTTCACAGATAAGGATTTTGAAGTTCAAAAAAAAAGGATTGACATGCCCGAGGCAAGTGGCAAAGACCTGCCTCATCCAGATCTCAGTGTTCCAAGCCTGGGGTGTGTCTGGTTTTTTTTTTTCCTTTACAACTTATTTCTTTAAAAGCTCACCCTTTAATTACAGTTTAAGAACATTTCTTGACAACATACTATATGATTCAGGTGGCTGAAACCAGAGTAGGCATAATTTGTTGAAACCAAATAACTGAAGACTCCAATAGAACATTTTACAATGACAAAAATATTCTATATCTGTGCTAGCCCGGTAGCCACTAGCCATGAAATTGGCTACTATGACAGAGGAACTGAATTTTTTATTTTTATTTCATTTTTGTTCATTTAAATAGCCACATGTGGCTAGTGGCTAACATATTGGACAGCATAAACCTGGTTATGCTGTCCTTAGATACCGGGAATAAGAGCCTCAGACAAGAATTATTGTCCTGTCATGCTTAGGGAAGGCAGGCCGGAGAGGCTGGTTGCTTATCCCGCTGAAGCAAGCAAGTGGGAAGGGTCCTATTCCTGAAGGTCATATGTGTATAAGTGCTTCTATATTAAGCTAATGACTCAATGATTAGTTCCTTTCCTTCCAGGGAGATGTTATATTGGCTTCTTTTATAAGCTACACTTTTTTGGTCATAAGTAACATAAAGCAACGGTGACTGACTTAAGGAATAAAGGAATTTATCAGAAGGATGTGGGGTAACTCAGAGAATTGAAGGAATCCTTGAAGAGCCCAGGCCTTAGATAGGGGCCTCGGGGAAGCAACTGAAGGCTCTGCTATTGGGGTAAATTTGCCCCAAGCATCCTGGGCCCTCATCTCATTCCCCCATCCCTGAGAAGGAGGGTCTAGTTGGTCTAGCTTGGGTTGCTGCTGACGTCTTGGTCAAGGGAAGGTAAAATACAGTAATACCTTGGTTTGCCAGCATAATTTGTTCCGGAAACAAGCTATTCGTATTGCAAGACATCACTTGTTTACCACGTGAAAATGTATTGGAAATGTTTGTGCATCTTGTGGAACACTCGCAAACCAAGTTACTCACAATCCAAGGGTTTGCTGTACTTTATTGGACAGGGACTGCCTCTAAAGAAAAATACAGGAAGTGGAGAAATAGGAGATGGGCAGGCAAAAACAACAGGTACACATAAACTGCATAACACCGCATGTACAAACAACAGAGAGATATAACATAAAACTGAACAAGCGGTCTCACCTCCATTTTTTAACATGGATGTAGCGATATTAAAATACTTAACCACGTTCCAGTAAAGCACCCACATTGAAGTGAGTTGCTTTGGCTGAGTGTTTTCAAAGTACTTAATATGTGACTTTTCACTGCAGCCATATGAAGTCAGTATTTTCACTGCTCTTTTTCCAAATCAATAAACTAGGATAATGAAAAATTATGATTTGCTCAGAGAAAGATAATTACTAGTACAGAAAAGATTTGAGCCCTGAGCCACTGACACCTATTTCTGTCCTTAATCCACATTGTATGTCTCCTCCAATTTTGCTTTTTAGCACAGAGGAAGGTGGTAGAACTCTGTTTAACATTAATATTTCAGGCCTTTTATGTGCTAATGAGAGAGACTCTCTATTCATTAGATATGCATGGGACATGATTTGACCTGATGAATACAAGTGCTTTATAATGAGTTTTTTAAATTATATTTGTTCAGTTTCTGTACTTTTCATCTCCAGTTTCTTTAGTCTTTTTAAAATCTGAACTTAAAATTTGGTTCAATCTTCCATTAGTCTTTAAAAAGAAAATTAAAACCACCTGTAACCCCACCAGGTGTTACTGTTGTTAACATCTTAGTGTGTTCCCTTCCCGTCTTTCTTTTCTATGCATATAGATTTATACTGTTAAATATAATAATGGGGCCACACTATAAATAATTGTATATGCTTTGTCACTAAACAATATTTTATGAATATTTTTCTCTGCCATTAAATACTTTTCCACATCATTTTTCTAAATGTAGATAACTCTGTCATCCTTAAAAATAAAACATTCTCCTTGTAAAAAATATTCGATTTACAGAAAAAGAGACAAGAGCAAAATTCATCTGGTACCTCACCATCGTTTTATGAAAAACCTTTCAGAAATTTTATATAAATGTTAAATGTGTTCATGTTATATTTTTTTTTGTCATACGTATATTTCTTTTCTCTTAATAGTGTGTTGTGGCTATCTCTTCAAACCAATATATATAAATAAAAGTACATCATTTATTTCAGATAATTCCACAAACATTCATTGAATACCTACAATGTGTCGTACAGTGCTGGGCAACAAGGTGACAAAGATGCATGAGAAAAACACATTATCATTTATAATGACTCAGAATACTATATGGCAGATATGCCATAATTTATTTTCTTAGCCTCTTCCTATTGGATATTTAGATTATTTCCACATTTTCCCCCATAACAAACACAATAGGATGAATCAACATCCTTCCAGCTAAATCTTTGCCCACATACATGATAATCTCCTTATTTTAAATTTATAAAAGTAGCAAAGACTATGTAATAGTTTAATACCATTGGTGTTCATTACTAAATTGCTCTCCTGTTGTCTTAATTTTGTGTTTTATTAAACTCTGCCATATTTTTGTTTGCACAAATAAGTCAGGCCTTCAATTCAGTAAGTGACCACAACTAAGTTCACATTATTTTGAACTATCATAACTGCCTTGATTCAGAGCATTTTCACACCATTTACTTTATCATTTCAACACCTAGCCACCACAGGTGAGGTTAAAAAAGGACTGGTATGATGTTTATTTCACTTTATATGTAGGAGAAATTAAGGCACATGGAAGCCAAATAACCACCTAAGATTCCACATATACTGGCAGATGTTTGAAAAAATCCTGTATAATATTAATGTGATTCTGGTTGCAGTGGGCAATGTAGTTGACTCCCCAGCATCAATGTAATTTCAGTTGGTCAGTTTTGCTACTTATAGTAATTGTCTTCCCTTGACCATGATTGGTTCTCAAATTGTAGGCCCAAGGTAGACTGGGACAGTGAGATTCAAAGAGATGCTTCCTGGGACTTCTGGGTAGAAATCTTTCTCACCATTTAAGAGGGAGAACAGGAAGCCTATAGCCCAATTGCCAGTGACA